AAACTGTTTGAAAATATAAGATTATAGGTATCCAGCTTTAGTTTTCACTTTGTTCATGAAAGAAAATACGACCTATATTATATCTATACGAATCTCTCAACAAAATTAGTAAAGTTCTGACAAAGATAATTTTCAATTTAATTATGTTTTTTTTTATAACAGTAGGAGGCAAACGAGCAGCGGGAATACCAGAGGAACCGCAGATGCGTGGCCTTTGAGATGGTGATACGCTCGCTTCTTGAAACGAAACCTTAGAATTATGTCTGTTAAAAGAAACGAGACAATTTTAATTTTCATGCTTTCACTCTGCCCCTTCCGCCCTGTGTACGGGTGGGAAATATTGATATTGGAAATAGGGAAATTCGAGAGACTTTGTACAGTTCAATTATACTAAAATTCACTTCAAACTTAGTATATTTACTCATGGGTTTTCGAAGCTTCAATATTTGCGATGTGATCATTTCAATATTGTTGTTATCATTCATTGTAACTGTTGTTTTAAAATTATTTACGTAACGTGATTTGTTGATATTTACAATACAAATATTACTATTTAACAATAGCTTACATTGAAACGTTATTTGTTACATATTAAATTGAATTAATAACATAAAACAAAACAGATATATATGAAAAGGAATTCAAATTATGCAGACTAAAGATAACCTCTGAAAAAAACTAGTTTATTTTACTTTGATATGTTCAGGTAATCGTATTTATGTAATTCAATAATTTATATTCGAAGAGTTATTTTAATTAGATTTATTCCCTAAATTAAACATTATTTTATATTTAAATGTAATGCTATGATTAAGGCTCTATTGATACAGTCTTACGAATTTGTTTGATGTAATTATAATCTATTGCAAAGTTAGTTACAAGTTACCTGCGCCTCTACTTAATTAGACTTACTTAAAGCTGGGATTAATTTATTCACGACCTGTCCTCCATAACTTTATCACTCCCCCGACTCCGCAGCCTTTTTATCTCAGTACTAACACTTCGTTAATTATTGTCCTAATTTGATAGGGCCGACTCTATATACTATTGACCTTTGCTCCAAATAAAATGTTTTGAAAGTGAATTTTTGTTCTTTTTAATATCGTCATATTTTTAACGACACGATTGAAGAGATTTATAAGAGAGTGTTCAGTCTACCACATATGGTTACTTAATATTAAGATGCAGATCTTTTAATTTAGACGTATTTTTAGGGACACACGGCGACTGTTAATTAATCCTTGTTATTTACCTAAAATCCTAAATTGAACTTTGTGAACACGAGTGTGGTTTCATTTAATAAACTCAACTAACGCACTTGTGGTTTCACCAAAGCGCCTAACTTTGACTAAATAAGCGTCGCCTGCGGTTTGCCTTCTGCCTTCCTTATCCTGCGACCTCACACGGTTTTAGCTGTTACTCGCGTTCTAACATATATTTTTATGTAGATATTAAATCCTTTGATATCTAACACTGATACTAGTGTAATACTTTGTCAAAAATTTGCTGTACAGTCAGCTACATAAGTATGTATACATTTGTAAAGCTTCAATAACTAATATACGCTATCAGTTTTAAAAATATGTATTTAAAAACGCATTAGTCCTTATGCTTCTAACTATGATGTTATTGAAGAAATTATTGCATTCGTATTTTTTAAATTGAAGACCTATACAAGTTTCTAAAGTTTTGTATTCATATTTTGCAGCTGACTGTACTCACTACTGCACTATAAATTCGACTAGTTAGGTAATAGCTGCCACAGAGGTGTTATTACTATGCAATGCTAGAAACATCTGCTCTTATAATCTAAGTCAATAACGCAACCGTATTCATTTGTTATTTTGCAATGTTACCTTTGCATTTTCGGTACACTGGAAATAACTTATTTACAAAATTCAATTTGAATTATAAATATTATTTTCCCCTCGTAACAAAATTATTATTAACTTAATAAAATAATATAATATGAGTAATAATTATGTTAGCGGGATTATTTTGTAAAGATGTATCTTCAGATAACCAACCTATCTATAATTATAAGATACAAAACAGTATAGTTATAAACGACTAATGGTTTTATCTAAACAGATATATGTAAGACGATGTTTATCTTCACATTATAATCTCAAGTAATTTATCTTTTAACAATCTCAAGACAAACACCAGACTAAAAATGTGTCACATTGTATAAATAAGTGTTTTAAAACGCCATGGTTCTTGCAATAATGATTACAAACTGTTTGTTATCATTGCACGAGCATTCATCAGACAAAACTCCGAATGATTTCCACTTTACGCCTGTCTTCTGTATATTCTACCACTGTTAAAGTGTAGGAATATTCTCGTAGTATTGTCATTGTATTTACAGATAGACTACCTATAAATAAAACATTTTCAATATTCCTGTTTCCATTCGAACGAACTTCAATAGTTATCATGTAACATGAATACATTGCTTCTGCTCTGATTATCAATATTTGAAAAGTATATACAGAGAAAAGTATTATAGCAAAATAAAAGGTCTTTAAAGGTAGAGTTATCTAGAACTTTTATTTAATATGTTGGCGGAAATGATTTGCTTTAGCGATGTAAAGAAAACTTTTTGTTATTCCATGTAAACTACAGCGTTATCGGATAATAGTTTGTAACAAGACTGAAAGAATTGCCGCGTAAAAAGTAATGGTGCAGTAGAGTTGATTACTCTCACGAGCTACGGTATTTTATAGTTCGGGAGATTGCAAAGCATTTCCAGCCTCACACTAGTATCATTCACTTCAATAAAATTTAAAGGAAATATATTTACGAAACGTGATTCTATAAGATACACTATAGTGCTTTAGACCCTACTAACAATCGATTGAAATTAACATAAAATTCCTCGCAAATGTTTGATAAAATTGTGGTTGCTTTTATTTAGCACAGAATCGATATCTATAATAAAGTCTTTTGAAATACTTTAATCTTAGTTAAACGCATCTCCCGCTCGCCTGCGATTGGTTTAGACATAAATAAGACAGTCTTAAAGATGGTGAAATTGAAACAATTTGCATATCTTATTATTTTCTTTATTCAATACTCATACTAATTTTACTCGTATTTGTTTACTAAAATAATAAAATTAAAAAAAAAAATACGAAATTTTAATAAACAGTAAGGAAATATTACTTTTCTTTAAATACTTCGATATATCTTGATTATTTTTCTTATTAGCTGATGTTTTGTGATTATAGACAAGTAAATTAATAAGGGGAATGAGACAGAATATAAAAATAATTTAACGTCAACTAGCTGAATACTAATCTTATTTTTCGAAATTAAAATACTACATTTTAAAACTCTAAGTTTTTAATTGCTTTTATAGTATCAAAGTCCGCTATGATCGATTTTAAATATCCTTATATGAGGAAACAGTGCTTTTGTGACTCTAGTCTCCTCAAGTCGTACTGGCATTGTTAAAATCCTTGTTGTAGGTCGCCAAACAAATTCTCGTAGTGTCACTGATCGTGTGGCACAGAACATTGGGGGTCAGGAACAGCAGCCCCACCACTGCCCCCAGAGACAACACTTTGAACGTGTTTTCTTCCACTACTAATATGATAAAAATTGTCTTAATTACCTTTTATATACAATTTCAAATATATAGATAAATTAAATTTAATCATGTAAATCTAATTGAGAACATAATCGCTATGGAATATTACTCATATTATCTCATTCGCCTTGTGAAATGTGATTCGCGTGTTGACAGAGCGTGCGAACGTAGAGTGCAGTCGAGGACGTTAATTTACTGCCCATTTTAGTAAAACGTCGTATGTCAGTGAAACTTCGTGGTCAGATTCACGAACCAAATACCACGACCACGCAGAAGACAGGTGTCAAATGGAAGCAATTCCGCGTTTCGTTTAATGATTGGGCATCCCGGAGGACTGAGTTTAGTCGACTTTCCCTTTCCACTCTTTTCTAATGACGAAATGATGGAAACGGGAACTGAATTTGGCAGAGGAAGGGACGCATAGGAAGGGACAATATCCTATTTGTATGCGCCTCTTCTCGATTGATTAACGTTAGGCAAATCATTTCCAATTACAAATGTCCCTGTGCAGCAGTCACTTCACTATTTTGCTGAATTCAGGTTGCCCTACACCTGTTTGTCACCTTATAATATAAAAAAACCTATTTTAAAATCGTATGCAACTACATATTATATAAATTATTTGCTTCATCTTGACTTTATGTAGGGTTTTATATGTATATCAATTCCATTGATGCTGTCTTTAGTTTAAACCTTTGAACCGTTTTCTTAACAAAAACACTGTTCTTTATTTTTATATACATGTACAAGTATATAACAAAATGTTCAATTTACGAAATATTTTCTGGAAAATTTAAAAGGAGATTAGCTGTATTTTCAGAATATTTACTTTTTCCCTGAGAGCTTTTTGACAGCTTGTCATTGTAAATTAATTTATTGCCTAAAAATAAATAAATCCATTGGACGCGGCTCTTGAATTATTTCTCTTCGTTCCGAGAATGTTCATTTTAGGTCGCCGTTATCATTGGCAGGATAAAATACTTTATAATTAAAATAGTCGAATTAATTTTTGGAAAGAAATATTTTTAGTCAAACAGAAATGAAATGTCACATTTATAGTTAATGTGGACAAAAAGTGCTTAAAGCTATTATTAATAAAAAAAAACATTATGAATTATGACTCAATATGAACCATTGCGCGACCACTGATAGTTACAGTAAATATTATGATATCTTTTAAGCAATATAAGATAACAAAATCAAATGCAATTAAGACAACATTTCTTTGCAATATTTGATAAAATACACTTTCGTTTACCTTCTTAATTTATTTTTCTTTTTAGCAGATGTTTGTGATTTTAGGCAATTTCATTATTTTAGGTAGATGAGATGGAATATAAAGAACATTTTACAGCAACCGGCAAAATAAGACCCGTATTTTAAGAAATTCAAATATTTATTTCCTTACAAAGTCCGCTTATGAATGAAATAGTTTGCGATTTATCATGATATATTTTAATGCCCTTATATGAGGGAGCAGTGCTTTTGTGACTCCAGTCTCTTCAAGTCGTACTGGCTGGCTATGATCTTCTGCAGCTCCTCGTCGGTCGGGTTCCTCTTGCGCGATATGAGCCACCTGGTGTGTCCGCGTAGGGCGCAATCCTCGTGTATCAGGTATTCATCGTTTATGTACCTGAATACACGTACGTCATATGTTTCCCGATTTGCGTTATTCACAGGATGACGAACGAAAAATTTCGCTTCTCTACCTCCTAAGAAGAGTCCATCGAAAAATTTATTATCTGGTGGGTCAGTGTTTAACACTGAGAATGCAATTGAATCATCCTCGAACGAATATGGCATATCGTTTTTATTGAAGTAGTTCTTGTAATTGTTTAGATCTTCATTAGTCGGTCGCTGGAAAGAAACTTCGTTGCATGATCTCGAAGGAGGCAAGTTGAGCCAAATAGAGAATTTGTAAACGTAGTACCATTTCCCAAGCAGAAGTTCATTGTTAAAATCCTTGTTGTAGGTCGCCAAACAAACTCTCGTAGTGTCACTGATCGTGTGGCAAAGAACACTGGGGGCCAGGAATAGTAGCGCCGTCACCGGCCACAAAGACAACATTGTTAACGTGTTTTCTTCCACTACTAATAAAAAAAAAATCCTTCTTATTCCCTTTTATATTCAATTACATAATGGCGGCTCCACATTCGCGCCGCGAAGCTCCGCGAACAGATCTGAACGTGCGTGAGGTTTTCGTGGGTTTCGCGGGTAACTCATCCACGGCCTCATGTTGCGCCAGTATTTTAATTTTATTTTATTTAAAGTTATTGCAGTACCAGCTTTAACGTCCTGTTCGCGGTGGTTTACGCGGATGAATATGAACATGCCGCGAACGTGGAGGGCATGATCATGCCGTGAATTCACAACACCAGTGTAGAGCCGCCAATAGTATAGATAAACAAAAAGTTAATCATTCAAATCAAATCGAAAACGTAATCGCTATCGAATATTACTGATCTTATCATTGCAAATAAGTTTTTGGCGGCTCTACACTAGTGGCGTGAATTCGTAGCGTGAGTTCGCAATGTGAATTTCTAGGCACAAGTCATGTCCTCCACATTCGCGGGATTTTCATTCGTGAAACCAACCGGACTGGACGTGCAAGGTGGTACATTAACTTAACATAAAATTAAAATTTATGTATAGACTAGCATAAGCATGAAACTGTGAATGTGGATGAGTTACCCGCAAACGCGGCGAACGGGGCGCGAACCCTTTGTCAAGGGAGAAAATACCGACTCAACAAGAATAAAGCGCGAACGAACATGAATGCCCGCGAACCCCGTAAAGATCACATACACATTCACGCCTGTTCGTGGAGCTTCGTGGCAATAATGTGGAGCCGCGGTTTCAGATGCTAGAACTGATTACATTCACCTTGTGGAACGTGATGCAATCAGCGTATGTAAACGTAGAGTACACTCAAGGACGTTTATTTGCTACTTAATTCAGTGAAACGTCATTTGACGCCCAAAATGTAATACTCAAGGCAACATACACGTATATTAGCCACAAGCGAATTTACGTTTTGATTACACGTATATGTACAATAAAATGTCTACATAAAATTGACTTAATTACATAAGTAATTGATAGATTAGTTAAAACTTTGCAAAATAAATCCAGTACTTACTTTGTTCCTTTTAAAAACAGGGGTATAATATACTGGTAAGGATTTTTCTTTATGAAGGCGAGGCGTAGTGTAGTGGCGCGTGCAGTAGACGTCTACAGCTCGGTGAAGAATGCCGCGGCTGCGCTGAGAATTGATGTTATTACTGCGCTATACTCCACCACCTCCATACCCGCAGGACTGACTGCTTGCCACGTTATAATTGACTTCACACTAAAATATTGTTTGATCAAAGTACAATGGGAAGAAAGAATATATTTGGCGGGAGAGGGGATGTATAAGGAAATGGAAATATCCTATTCTGTACTACCGTTTACTTTACATCAGATGTAAATCCGGAGCGGATCGGTCATTACACTATTTTAGTAATCTCTGATAACCACTGAATTCGCCGAAACAACCGAGAGACCTCCACCCATAGACATTCGCAATTACAGTGCCGTTGCTTATCTCTAATAGACTATGGTCGGATGTACAAAAGAAGGACTTTTTCCCTTCCTGTGCCCATCCATCAAATCTACTTTTAATTGTCATTCTTTCCTTATAAGTAAAGGATGGGGAGGAAGAAAAGGGGGAATTAAAATTAGGCCTCTGGCACCGCACTTATTAGACAAAACACGGAATTATTTTCACTTCACGCAGGTCTTCAGCGTGGTCGTTATGTTACGCCGGGCGTGGCGACACATTCGTGCAACAGATGAAGATTAAAAAAAAGAAGTTTGTCATCTAGTTCTATAATATTATGACTTTAATCACTTTAACAAGAAATAGCGTAATTTTGCAGGACGCAGGTGATGTTAATGAGATTCACGTCCCTGCGGAGGGGAACTGTTAAAATATGTTCAGCTTAATCAGTTTAAAATTGTAATAAAACAAGTTAACATTAATTTAGTGTAAATCCTTAGATAATAAACTGTAAAGTGAATTACACTAAGGGTGTTAAACAATTCATTGCCCAGCGTAGATGTAAAGTTACAAAAGTTCTGGTAAGAAAATTCATAATTTTAATTTAGATTCGTTGCATCTTGTATCGTCATATTTACTATTTGTACTCAAATAATTAAAATCTCACAAGAATGGAACATTAAAATACCATATTCGCGAGACGAAACAAATAATTCGCAGCACGATTCTTTAAAATTGTCGTACTTTCTCTATGGAATATGCATGTATTGTTAACCGTTATTTTAAGTTAATAATGTATAAAAATCATAAATAATTCAGCCAGAGGAGTGTTTAATTTGCGTCTCAGAGACAGCACTTAATCACATAAGACCTGCCTCAAGTCATAAATCTTGTCTCGAAAAATGTCCTCCATAATTTTATCAACGCCGCCTCCTGTTTATTAACTTAGTCCAGATAAAGTCGCTTTTCCTCATAAATTACTTCCTGCTTTTAAAAAAGTTTTCCTTTGAAATATACTTATCTGTTCGTACTGGATTTATGAATTTATTTAGTTACATGTTTTTATTTTAATAAAAATGTAATCTTCTATAAACATTCAACGGAAAATCAATATTATACACAGAAGCATTTGCTAGAGAATTTGAATTCCGAACTAAACGTTTATTGAACGTCGAAATGTACTGTCAGTGGTAGCGGAGACTGCCATCTGTCGGCCGACGCAGTTAATTAATTTGTACCGGAGAACAATCAAGATCTCTACAGTTCTATGTATAGTTTCAATTACAAATACCACAGATGTTTTCACAATCGAATGAACAGAATATTCAATGAATTTGCAGCATCTAGATAAATATCGAAAGTTTTGTATTTTACTGTGCTATTCCATTCGTTGCGTAAAATGCTTAAAGAATTTTAAAAAAATTGCTACAAAATTGAGCAGAGTGTATGTATGTAATATCAAAATAAAATCATATCCCGTACAAGTGTATTTGCATGGCTAATTTTGTCTGTCTGTCCGCAAGGCTGCATTTGTTTGGGATAATTTCCGAAACAACTGGGCTGATCTTAACGAGACTAGCTGATGCACGCGGAAATATTAACGGCATTTTTTTTTAATTTTGCGTTGACAAAGTCGTTGGCGACCGCTACTACAAATATTAAATTCAATATTTTAACATTATATGACATGAGGCAAACAAGGATTTCCATCAGCACCAACGTCCGGCAAACATGTCAGACTTTGACTTTGACAAAATGTATTACCATAAAACGAGGAAATATTTCTCTGCCATTTTTGATAAATATTTAAATTTTAGTCGCTTAAAATCGACAAACAATACGTTTTTTACACTTCGATACACTGCGGTTGGAAATATCTATCTTAAAATCGCGGAACATACTATTGGGCTCTAAGGAAGGATAATGAGGTCATCCTGAAGAGAGATTTTGATTTGTCCATTTAGAATCAGTCTGTATGTACATGTGAGCAGATCAGGTTGAATTTAATATAGAAATATCCGAACTCGAGTCCGCATCGTAAGGGGCGCGGAAGCGACACGTGAACCGTGTTATTGGATTTCAATAACATCTTTATTAACATAATATTATTACTATGACAATATTATAGTAAAAATAATTAAATATTTCAATAAAAATATTTGACAATATATCTTAAAGTTAGTACTTAACTACAAGTAAGTTGTTAGTACTACAAGAAAAGAAAATACTCATGTTTATTTGTATATTTTCTTGGAATATAATTACTTATAGATTTCAAAAATTCAGCCATCATTATCTCGTTATTTTTCTAAATGTACAAACTGCAAGCATTGTTAGAGGAAAAATTAGGTAGTACGTAAGATTTATAAGCTTTACCAATCACTGTGAGTGATGTAAGTATCGTGCGCCAGTATCACCTGTGTGTAGATCTGTGGTCTGCGCACTGTGGCCTGCCTCACTCTGTGTCAATATCGCCGTACGCTGCGTTGCCTAGCAACCACTACATACCTCCGCTGCGAACACCTGATACCCTATAGTATATAGTTCTACATCAAACTATTATATATATCAATGTTTGGAATACATTTGATATTATTGTTTCGAAAAAGATATATGTTAACAAGTAATCAAAATGGCTGAAACGATCTGGATATATTTTTATAAAGATAAATTGGTGTCAGGAATATCGAATAGTTATTACTAGTAACTTTTTTTTAGTTACGTGCGAACAAAGTCGTGGGCAACAACTAGTAGTCAATGTAAAAATTGATTGAATAATTTTGTTGTCAATGAAAGTAGAAAATAAATAATATGAACAAGATTATTTAGTTACATTTAATTCGACCTTGTTCGTGGTGTAATGTTCAGAAAACGTTTCATTTCAGCGAATGTTCGAGGACGATTTTAATATTTAAGAGACACCGAAATTGAAAACGTAGAAATTTGAGAAAACTTTGCCCATTTGACTCAATTACGTTTAAATTTACTTTGAAATTCTGATTTCTGTATATTTGTGCTAAATTGATATTGAATTCAAAACCCAGGCCCCGGGGAATACTCAAACTTATTTGCTTTTTAAACATTTCGGAACTTATATAGTTAGTGATTTTACATTTTCTTATCTGACTGAGTCTGGAGGGTAATATTATTCTCCCGTAGATGTTATGTTGTTATATATAAGACATTGTATATAAGTGGGTTCCGTTGTGACTTGTAGATGTAAACGGATCCCTCCATCCGTTTACACGACGAGTGAGTGGCAACTAATCTATATTTTGCAGGTCATTTATACGTGTTTCCCTTCTTTACCTTTTGAAGAAGTATTTCAAGTAGATAGCGCTGGGGGGGCGCTGCTTTGACGCTTGCAAATTGCGTTGTAAAATAAAAATAAGCCTGTACTTGGTTCAATTTCCTTGGTAATTTTACGCGTTCCGAGGCGGCGCGGCGTCATGGCACGGGCACGGGCACGGCCGGGAATGGGGATTTACAATCATACTGCTTTACATAATAGTTATTACCTTGATGAAAGGTAACCTTTAGCGACCTGTTTCATTTAATAAGCTACCTATATAAGTAGAAAAATGTATTTAATGCTTTTGGATATTTTTGAATACGAAACTTGGAAGATTAAATATCCATTACATAATATCTTGCTAATATTATAAATGCAAAAGCTTACATGGATGGATGGATGGATGGGTGTTTATTACAAGGTATCTCGGGAACGGCTTAACGGATCTTGATGAAATGCATAGATGTATAACATAATGTGGAAAAACAATTAGGCTACTTATTAAGATGTTTTTATACCGCGCCGACGGAGTCTCGGCTGCAAATTATAAAATATATATTCCTAGTTTAACCAAAGAACATTTTGTATAATTCATCAATTCCCAACAATTGTTTCCTTTCTCTCCAACACCTACTTAAGAAGGTATTTTTTTGTTACAAAATTGTAGGAAACACAATGAGGGCAACACTTAACTCTACATTGTTCGCGTTGTTGCGACGTCGGCGGGGGGAAACGCGAGGCGGGCGGGGGGTCGGTGGATTCCTCGGCTTAAACATCTTTTGTTAGCTGTACAATACATCCTCCGTTTGCAATTTCATCACATCTAGTAGTTTTATTTCACAAGAATCTCTTTTTTTATTCAAGGCAAGATTAAAGTTGAAATGTTAATGTCAACTTGTAGATATTAGGTGAAAAAAAAATTACGTCGTCCTGATTAATTTTAAAGAGAACAGTAAAGCTCTTTAGAAACAGACATCTTACGTTTACAGATATTTGTAAATGTCCAAGACGGGAAATAAATTGGAATAATTATATGAAAATGAGACTTATTCAATAAAGTGAACTTTAAATTGCTTTGTAGAAACTTCTTTAAAAGGAATCGTTTTACTTAATTTGAGATGTTCATTTCTTATGTCCTCGGAGAATTTTCAACAGAAGTAGGTAATTGTTAAGACTTCCTATTTTAACGTGGGATTTAGTGACGAGTGTTAATGTTATATTGATCCAAACCAAAAAGATATTGACAGATATGTGTAATTTTTAAGTTTTTATTGGTTTGTATTTTTCTTTTTGTTAAATTACTATAATCTCGACAAATATCAACCTTTGACCTTTATGATATATTGTTCGTCCTCATAACGACTACGCTATTGGCACTTTTAACATTTAAGATTCAATTCCGACACGTTTTATCACAGATTAGGATCACGTCCATTTCAAAAA